GTACGTTCTGCCGACATGTCCCAAAAACTACAAGTACACCAGACCTGTGTTTCCTGCTGCTTGGCCTGCAGCACTTCTGGATCACACTCCCTGTAGTGTTCTATCTGTACTGTCAGCTTCTCACACTGGGACTTCTTCTCCTTCAACTCCTGTAAGATCTTCTCTCTAGACTCTGAGTCCTCTCTAGGACAACAACATAGACCATTAAATATTACCACTGTCTTAGCGACTATCATAACTATAATCTACAACTGTGCATGCCTAGTGTCAAAACTGAAGGCCCCCAAAATGTAAACAAAACATGTAAACAAAACATGCTTTATCCAGATGTCTTTGCTTACATTTTGACTGACCTACTATACATGACAATCAATATGGGAAAATACATACATATTGCAATACAAGTGATCACTGTTTCATCAATTATAATGGTAGCAGGGATCTCCCCAGAAATTTAGGACAGAATGGAGGAGGCCTGGGGTGCGAAATATCGGTAAATTTGACCAAAGAACCCTGGAAAAGGGTGTAAAAACACTAGTTTTGAAAATTAACAGGGTGGAGCTGAGATATTAGGACTGGGTGGAGGAGCTCCACTGCTCCATTGTTTAGGGAGGTCCCTGTGGTAGGTATATGCAACATATTGGTAGGTATATGCAATTGGTAGGTATGAGCAAATTATTGGTAGTCATACACAAATGCTTGATATGCATTATATGCAAGTTACTAGTACTTGTGATGGTGGGCATATGCAAATTATTGGTAGTCATGTGCAATTCACTCAACTACCACCTGGTTTTTGCCTACCACACAATGGTCATGATAAATCATGGCAATTGCTTGTTTATGTTTGTATGCTCATATTTATTGATAATAGTGCCAGGCAAGGACATTACCCAGTAAAGCAGATGTCCTTGAGCCAGGAAATGACATGATATGCTTGATAAGACTAAGGGTCAGTAAGACTTACCTGCCCACTTGTGCCTTACTGATACTCTGGTCTGTTGCCTTCCTCTTCCTCTGGGTCTCCTCCAGCTGTTTCTCCAGCTCGTCTATCTTCCGTTTCCTGGTGTGGACAGCTTTACTCGGGAAGGCCCAGAAATAGTTGGACGTCCCAATCCTCTCAGTGTCAACCTGGAACGGTCACAGCATACTGATCATAATAGAATAAATTGTAATCTAAGTAAGATAGAAGATCGCTACTATAACCTCCTTGAATATTTACCTATTTCATTTATCTGTTTTTACACCTACAACTATATTAAGTATTATCTAAGTAAGATAGAAGATCGCTACTATAACCTCCTTGAATATTTACCTATTTCATTTATCTGTTTTTACACCTACTGTACAACTATATTAAGAAGTTGAACCTGTACCAGTAACGTTATACTATAGATGTAGCAAGATAACAGGCTTGTAACATTCATACTGTCATAAATTCTAGTATTTGTACATCTTAGATCTTTAACATCTGTGTCCATAATATCACCAGGGTCCATAATATCGCCACCTTGAGAAACAGTGTGCAACATACTTTTGGTATGCACTCCTTCACACATCAAATGTACATACCTAGGGTATGTTGCAGTAAAAATATCTTTAAGCACACTATATCTCAAGGTGGCGATATTATGGACCCTGGTGATATTATGGACACAGATGTTACATTTAATAACCCTTATTTTACTAGTAGTTCAAAAGGGCATAGGTGATTCAAGAGTCAGGAGCTATTTATTGTACATTTTCAGTGACACAGTCATATTGAATTTCAGACAATTTACCGTAGAAATACACATTATTATAAGTTAAAATGTACAATAAAGGTCCTTCATTCAATAAACACGACTCGGTAGACAGTAGCCGTGGCGACTCTTGATTCGGGCTTACATGATTTTGCATTACCCTCGAGCCTCCGCTGAGGGTAATGCAATGTAAGCCCGAATCAAGAGTCGCCACGGCTAGGTAGACAGTAACTGAACTGTTTTAGGTCTTCTATTATACACAAACACAAATCCCAATCGATGCATCTGTTATTGTTACACATAAATGTTTACACACCAAACCATCGTCCACTAAACCCTGGATGACGTCCTTGATCACCATAGCGTTGATTCCCTTCTCTTTGGACCCGATTTTTTCCAGTTCCTTGAGTTGGAAGAACTCCTTCCTGTCGTAGAACACCGACAACATCCTCTGTCTCTTCTCCTCTAGCGATATACCCTTTCTTTTCGACATTTTTTCTGTGAACCGAGAACTACGAAATTGAAAATGGCGCCAAAAGAGAAAACCTGAGGTCGCTCATCCGGGACCTTTGTGACAGGACGGACGTAAAAGGAGTTGTGATTGGCTAATCATCCTAGACCTTGAGAGATTTAACCAATCACGAAGCAGTTGGCAATGTAACTCCCGGGGTCAATGCAGACCATTTGTTGACGAATTTTTTGCGACGTAGTGAGCAAGTTTTGAGCATTTTCCGCAGGTTTTGTGGTCATATATCCCACCAGACGCGACGTAAACGAGCGTTAAGTGTCTCAAACCAACCATGGACATCCTGAAAGCGGAGATGGCGCGGAAACGTAAACAACTGGAGGACGCCAAGCTTGTCGACGTAAGTTTGGGGAGGGGGGCAGTTGACTTCCGGAAACTAAACTTCAACACATTTGCATGCCACATGCTCGATGATTTCTTATTTCTAAGAACAATAAAGCTGTCTTGGGCTCTTATTGGGGTCGTGTGCCAGAACAGCAGAGCGTTCGGCTCTGAGCCAAGAGGTCCCGGGTTCGAATCCTGCCATGTCACCGATCTTGTGCCTTTGGGAATTAATTTAACTTAAGTTAAAGTCACTTTTTACTGTGACTGTGAGTGCAGTACAGAAAGATTGGAATTCCTCAGTCTGAGTGTGAACCATATGTATTTGATGAGATGTATAATACAGTACATCATGATTTATTTTACATGTAGGAAAAGAAGAAATTCTTCAAAAGAGGTGAACTCCAGGCTAAACAAGAGGAAGAGTACTACAGACGGATGAACATGGTGAGGTGTCAGCTTTTTCCTCCATCATTAACAAACTACATCTACATAAAGTACATACAAAGATTAACAGGGCTCAAAATTAATATATATTTGTCCCAGTGTCAAATGACACCAGACCTGAAAAGCAGGCTGGGACAGTCCATCCTCAGTTCGGGACAATTGAAATCTATTATTGGGACAATTCTGGGACAATAGTAAAAAAAAAGTTAATTTCGAGGCCGGAAGAATGTTGATATATGTTAACTACAATGTATGTTGTTTGTTCTGTCTCTTTCAGTATGAGAAAGACAAGCAAGATCAAGAGGATAAAAACACAGAGCCCACACCAGGAACGTCCAAGACCTCCCCTGAGCAGGAGAAGGAAAAGAAGATGCTTCCTAGAGAGGAGGTCAGTGTAGATGTACAATGTACATACTAGCAGGCATGTCAACATTTATTAATGTCTTTCATTCTCATGTGCCCTTGACAAATTTTAAAGTGAATAGCAACCTACTGCCCCTACAGCCTCTAAAAGGCTATGGGACTTCCTTTACATTGTATTGTATGACACAGAAATGCTGTTGTTATACACAGGTGATTCGCAGACTGCGGGAGAGAGAAGAGCCAGTCCGACTTTTTGGGGAGACTGACTATGATGCATACCAGAGGTTAAGGTATGGACCTATTCCTATTGAAAGTTTTGAGCCAAATGTTATTTTGTACTTGAACCAAGCATGGCCAGTTATTGATTACACAGTATGATACTGTACAGGAGAGGTTTGATACCTGTCATTCAAGATATATTTGATAAGATAACAAATACTGTAATTAATTTTTTCTTGATGGTAGCAAACTTTCACGATCAGAAATTATAGTATTATGATGTCATCAGTAAGTCTACAGCAATTATTTAATTCACAAGTGGAACTGGTAATCTGGAGCCTAGTGTTCTTGATTTATGCTTAAACATCTTTACTTGGTGTTTTTCAGACGAATTGAGATCCTAGAGCCTGAAGTGAACAAGGTAAGCATTTAGCCACCACCAAACATTTGTAGCTTCTTTTTGGCCTATTTCAAATGCTTCATGTATAAAATGATGATGAAAATGTGCTAAGCAATGGCAGTAAATTTTAATATCATGCAGACTTCCTCATCCAGAATATTTTTTGTGTTGCCTCTCTGAAATTTCATTCGAACCCTTTAACCAAAGTCCTTACCTTCCCTCCAGGGGTTCAGGAATGACCTGAAGGCTGCGATGGACAAGGTAGACGAGCAGTACCTGAAGGAGATGGTGGAGTCCCGCCATGAGGGCGAGGACGGACCAACACGCGGGAAGTACGACCTCAGGGTCAGCGACGACGGGACAACACTGGACGACATCAAGGTCTGCATGATTACATCAATCTTTTCCTGCTTCATACTTACACCTGTACAACTCCAATTTTACCTGCATGTGGGGTAGAGTTTCTCAAGTACTGGTATTAAACTTAAAGCTAAGATTGTGAATCCAAGGCACACCCACAGGGGCAGAAAAATCAAGTGTTTATGTTGTCCTCATACGCCAGAGATTGCTTTTCTGTAATGTATGGACATTTAAAATAAATGTACATGTACAGTGTATATGAAGATTTGTATGAAAATTAAAAGGTATCACTGTGTTTACATACAGGAAATGGCAGCAACTGTGAGCAAGATTTCAGATGACAAGGAAAGACGGGGCAATGAGTCCTTGATGATTCTCAAGTTTTTGAAGGTGAGGAAAATATAGCTATTCATATTGGCATTGCAGTTAAATTATCAGATTTCTGTTTCTTGGCTTAGCTATCATTATTGTTTTGTTGACGTCTTGTGATGATTTTTGTTTTGTTGACTTCTAGTCTGGTAGTGGTAATTGTTTTGTTGACTTGTTTGTGCCCCACCAGTTCCTGATGGACCAGTGGGCGAAGGAGTTGAACGCCCGTCCAGAGGAGGTAAAACGGAGCGTCCAGGGGAAACTGATGACAGCCACACATGCACAGACTGGGGAGTACCTCCGACCACTCTTCAACAAGCTCAAGAAGAAGGTGAGTGATTGAAGCGTAGTCAATACATGTACATTGTAGTATCATTTCTTAGCATTTAAACTACTGCACTCTGCAAGATTTCAAGTTTGATTAAGCTCATGCATTGTAAGCATCTCTTTTGATCCAACTCCCTGTAAGCATTCCATGTAAGAGTTCTTACAAAGGTTGGGAAAATGCAATAGAAGAATATGCTGTGTTGAGTCAGCTCTGGTGTATGTGTACATAAAGATAAAACGAAAATTTTAGGAATTTAGAAATTTCAGTCATCTCTGTCTCTCTCTCTCTCTCTATATATATATATATATAATGAGATGCATACTACGTTATAACTGCAAATGATTATGTTTGTTTTTATTGTGTTTCAGTCAGTACCATCTGATATCCAGTTTGCTCTACTAGAGATAGTCTCAAACCTGTTGGAGAGAGAGTATGTCAAGGTAGGAAAAGTCTCCAACTTTACATGCACTAATTTACAAAAAGGCAGGTGGTGTTTCTATCCCTAAACTTTCCTGCTGACATATCTAATGGTGTGTATGTGTATGTGTTACTCCAGGCTAATGATGCCTATCTGAGAATGGCCATAGGGAACGCGCCGTGGCCCATCGGTGTGACCATGGTCGGTATTCACGCACGTACCGGTCGAGAGAAGATCTTTGCGCAGAACGTTGCCCGTATCCTTTACAGCACATCTTGTGTGGATGTGTTTCAAGTGCAATGTTTGCCTGGCTTGGAAGCCCCCAAAATACAAGATCTTGAAAAATAATTTTTGCAGTTATGCCAAAACTGAGTAAAAAAAACACTAAAAGTTGGGATCCAATTCTCTTTTTTTTTTTTGACTCATAAGAAAGTAGAATAAGACAGCAATTTTTTGTACAGTTATTCTGAAATGTAAGTAAATCTACACACGTCACATCATACATGCCAAGTTGTTGGTTCCTTGACTGCACTGCAGATGTTCTTAATGATGAGACACAAAGAAAGTACATCCAGGTAAGTGTTCTTAATGCTCCATAAGTTGCAATTACATGTACAGGACACATGTATGTACATGTGTATATAATGCATACAATTTTGTCCATAAAAGACGGCAGATTGGGCAGAATTTCTGTCTGTCATGAGCAGCAAAATAGCTTCAAATTTTGGACAGATGGACACTGGCTAGAACAATAATGTACAGTCAAATATGTCTATACTGAACACATAATATAACAAAAATTTTACAGTAACATTTCTTTGGTTGGCAAAAAATGTTCATAATTTTTCCACAAGTGTCTTGTCAGTACTGGGTCATATTTTGTCAGAAGTCACTACTGCCCCTGTTTTGGTTGAGAGTGCCCTGATGTAGATGGCTTCCTTCACTCCTCTTGCAAAGTAGTCTTTCATGGTAACCTTTGCTGTTTCTGTGCAGGCCCTGAAGCGACTGATGACCCTGTGCCAGCAGCACTTCCCAGCTGACCCCTCCAAGTGTGTGGAGTACAACTCCAGACCTACCCTGCTGGTGGGACAGTGAACAGGGCTGCAACTCAAAGTGGGCTTCCCAGCTAGCCCCTTCTTGTACATACATATCAGCTGATAAATAGCAATGCTTAAGAAGATTTATGAAGGGTCAGACGGTTCTCCCCCTCAAAAAACAGAGGGTTCAAATCACAGCATAGGGGGCCCCTACGCTCAAACAGCTTAGGGATAGCTATGAGCACTCTTAGATGTTACATGGTAATTTGCATTACCACCTACGCATGATCATCTATAGATCTGTATCTGTCAGGACCAATTAAAACTTGTACATATTTCACTCCACATAGCCCAAGCATTAATTTTTCTAAGTTATCATATTTAAAGGCGCTCTATGTAGTTTTTTGCGCAAAAATTTGGATTATTCTAATTATACTAAATTTCAGTGTTATTAACAGTTACTATCACTTTTCAACACATTTGTGTCATTATTTCACATTTTTTACGTATATTTTGTCCGTTCAAACAGTCCTTGTTGGGTACCCGGTGCCACCGGTTTGCTCAGGACAACAACAACAACATACAGGGGTTGCCCTCCCTAGGGTGGCTAATTGACCCGGCATGCCAGGCTTGATTGACAGGGGCACATGTGACAAGATATAGCCTCGATAGAAAAACACTCACATCTTTCACATGAGGTCTGGTGGAATATAATTATCAACTTGGAGTATTTTGTTGGGCATGAATAAACTGTGGTCATTATCCCTTCAAAAGAGATAAAAAATCTGGTAAACGGTTAGGTATTTCAGAAACTGGTAAGCTATCAACTGACACCCCACTGGGATGTAGGTCAAACCACTAGCAGTGGACAATACAATGTACCATATGTGCGGTTTGGCCAGAGGTTGTATAGAAGATCATTCACAGTTTTCTAAGCTTCTAAGGAGCAAGGATGTTGTATTTTTGTTGAGGAGTATGATTTTGGAATACTAAAGGGTTAAGTCAATGTACTATGTAAAGAAAAGAATGAAAAATATACTTTTTGTATTGTCAAAAAAACTACATAGAGTGCCTTTAATAAAAGTATCTCTAACTAACTAAAGTGGTAGTAAAAGTCAAACTTCTGCAATGCAGTCGGACACTTGGTTTCCACAGGGCGGATGAAACTATTTCTTGCTTGTCTTGACAGCAATGTCCTGCACTATGAATTTACAGTAGTGCATGTATGGCTCACCCTGCAACTTTGAACTAATAACATTCAGGGGTTTTTCTAGAAAAATTTGGCATGAGGGAGCAGTATCACAGCGAGGGAGCGAAGCGACCAAGGGGGGGTAGGTGCGGAAGGGGGGGTATCCCCCCTTCCGCCATGTGAAGCCTTTGAAAATTTGAAGTTGAAATGGGACATTTTGAGGATACTTGAGGGGGGAAATTTGAACTCTTAACCTCAGTATACCTTTCCCAAATTTCTATTCATGCCTTGCATATTTCACTTGTAAAATATAAGTACAATCAACAGTACACACAATCTGCAAATCACCCTTTATACACTTACACAATTAGTGATCATTGTTACTAGTACTAGTAGTAGCTCCAGATGACAACATTGGGTTTGCCACAAGCTGAAACCTTTCCCATGGCACAATTGCAACACATTCATCCAAGCTGCTACAAACTCAGGTCTCATGTTTCACTTAAGAGCCTGTTCTATAGTATGCAAATGAAGGAGGTCTAGCTTCATGTATTTGAGCTAGTTCTCAATGAACATTGTTTATTCCATTCAAACTTTTACTACTAGAGCTAAATTTTCAAGTTTGTGGTAAGATTTTGCAATTTTCATGAGAGTAACATAGTTTGTAATGCTAGAATGTATTGTTTTGTGGTGTTGTTTTTGTATTTTTACTGGAAAAAGATGATTTTGAAAAAGACTTAGGCTTCAATCTGAAAATTGATATGAGGGCGCTGGTTTGTTACATGAGGGCACAGCGCCCTTGTTCCCCTGTTCAGAAAAACCCCTGACATTAGAACTATTGTAACAGTTCCAATTGTATATACATGTAAAACAAAGGAAAGAAGCCCACAAAACATCATAAGTGATCACATTTCCAATACATTTTATTCCATTTAGCCAGATTTGTTTGAGGTCTACATGTATGATTACTTTGATATATGTACCTATTCATTTTCCTATTGCTATGTACGTTTTGTAAAATAACATCTGTCACATTTCCATAAATTAGTGTATAATTACATGTATCATGTTTAGTGATATGCGAATAAAAATATTTGTGGTAAAATATTCTGATTTTGTGTTTAAGTAAACCAGAATATAAACTGTAGATTATTTTAAAAAACTCTGACCCTGACACGTACATATTGTATGATCATAAACCACTAGTACTGTATAAAATTAATGATAATCATATGACAGAACTAAAGTCTACAGCAACATAGAATATTATTAGACAAAAGTGGGATTTTTTTCATTTGGTGATATGTAAAGTTGGTGCGACATTGTCAATAAAAAGATGTGTATACATGTACAAACTGTCAAATCAGTTAAACCTTATATTGGTAACTGTCCCCTCTTTCAGCAGATATGGAATAAAAATGGTTTAAGATCATTAGTTAACATTTACTCATTGGCACAAGTATCATTGGCATAAATCATATTAGGAAAACAATAATTATTGACCTCCAACAACATACATTAGGCATAAATTCCAGACCGATGCTTATTTGAGGATGTGCCATGGCTAATCAATCAATACCTGTAGCATCTGATTTACATTAAGTTTTCTGCTGACAAAGGCAAGACATTACAATGGAGTTTGAAATGGACAGCATAAAAGTCAATCATCATATCATAACAGTCAATGTTTGATACTGAAATAGTCCTTTTGTATTGATAAGGCACTATGGTGACACTGGCAACAAGAAAGTACAGGAGACTTCTATTTATGGCTGGTATGTAGTATGGAAGTCATTGCAAGCAGCCTAAATGGGTAAAACAAAGATTTTCTTTAAAAAAAACTACTCCCTTTTCAGATTTTCGATATACTTCTCTACACTGGTAAGAGTCTCTGAAATGAGGGTTGGATTGAAAAAATCTATTTGCAAAATGACCAGCTATAGACACCTACTTATCCAAACATTTATTTCCTGAATTTGAAAATCAATTATTTCAAGACTTATTAATTACAACAGCCAGCCTTCTCTCCCATCGGTACTTTGTTAGATGACGGTGCCTCTAAGTCCACCGTACTAGTGTTCCTCTTTGGTGTTTTTGGTGCTTTGTCCAGAGGCAGACAGATATCAAACATGGCGCTAAAGAGTTCTTCTACGTTGTGGCCGCTCTTGGCGCTGGTTTCAAACGACAGCTTTCTGTCCGCCACAGTTCTGTGCTTTTCGTTTCTCGGGGTGTTCAGTTCCTTGGCGAGGTTTTCCGCCTCATCTGGTAGAACCTGGCGCGTTTCCTCCGTCACGAGATCGAGTTTCGTGCCCACGACCGCGATGAGGCAGTCGTCCTCGGCGCCCTCCAGGATGGGGAGAAACCGCTCCTGTAGGATGTCGAACGTCCGCCGGTCGCTGATGTCGTACGCGAGGATGGCGGCAGAAGCACCCCGGACATAAAATGTGGTAAGGCCTGAGTACCTTTCATTTCCAGCTGTATCCTGCAAGATTGAAGAAATAGAGATGTCAAGATTAATAGTATTTGTGTTTTGGACCAGGAAGAACTCGTATTTGGAGAAGTACTCAAAGTCAATTTCAGGGTTTAGCAAAACTGGATTTTCAAAGTCAATTTTATAGTATTATTTTAATGTAGTAAGTTGAATCAATCCCATCCTTGATATCTGTGAGACAAGAACGTTTATTAGAATGTTCAACTTGCTGACAGTTGATTGTTTAGTATCGTAGGCTGGTTCTAGGTATTTATGGGTGGTACCCAAAAATAAAGAGTGGCATTGAGCCGACGAAAGGTAGTAAAACAGCACAGCGCTCACCCATATGGCAATGTTGTATGGTCCCCATTGCTTCAGCATAAAGGAGGCACCTATGGTCTGCCAGGGAAAATGAGAAATGATAGATAAAGCAGCAGGAAATCAGTGTATATATACGTTAGGACTTGTGACAGACTTGTGACTGAGACAGACCCTAGATCTGCTTGGATATTGGCCTTTTCTACACCAAGGATATTAGGCCACACAATGTAATTGAATTGGTTCTTGGATTCGCTTGCTTCATTTTTCCACCAGCCTGGTATGTTGACTTCATTGTTCCTATCATGGCTTTTATCTTAAGTGTTATCATATCATTAATACGATGCCTAGGCCTGTTCCTTTACTGTCCCGTCATATTTTTTCTGCAAAATATCTGAGAGCCAACAAATTATTGGCCTTATAGAGAGTCCACTCACACTTGTAGTGTCCTGGAAGGCCCCGCTGATGTACCTCTGGAGCAGGGCTGTTTTCCCGATGGCGAAGTCTCCCATGATCACCACCTTCATGTCCCTGTGTCAGCAGAAATATGCATCACTTCAATATTAATTTTCTACACAGTCTATAGTATAACTTTTTCTCTAGCACTTTTGCTAGCCTGTTAATAGCCTCTATCTGTCCTTCTCTGATTATTTTGCTGACTCCCATGCACTGATGACTTTGAGTGGAGATTTTACGACTGTAGTAAATTTTGAGGATGACTTTTATAAAATGCGGGGGTTGGGGTACAAAATGCACAATGTACTATTTAGTAGGGTGGGGAGGGAAATAGTATATAGCTGGAAAGACAATCCCCTTGACGAACTTAAAATCTTTCCTTGTTGGATGACATCCAATAATTGCGACTACCTTCTTCATCTAGCAATTACACAACTAGATTTCGTTTTTATTTCTATCTGGCTTGAAACGAGGAGGATATTAGATATTTTGATGTTACGTATGATGGTCCTCCCACTTCTGAAACACAAGTTGGCAAACTACTTAACGTATACTTTAGCTAGTAACGTTACTTTGCGAAATCGCTTGCGAAGAAAATACCAAACTTACGCCTTCTTTTTGCCACCGGTTTTGGCGGCCATGATGTCTAGACCACTGGAGGAGGGGTTGCAGGATAAAAGATTTAGCACAAAACAGCAAGTAAACATGCAGAAACTGAACTAAAATGAACTGAAAAAGTTTGGACTGCAAACCCGGAAGTCACTGCAACCTCGTTTTCAAGCCATTTGGGGTCAAAGGTTGTTGGACAAAACCTCTAACGCAAAATAATGTCGCTGTATTTCTGTGTGTACTTTAGGGGTTTGGAGGATGGTTTATGCCATGCTTTTGCTTGATATTCGATGGATCAACCATTTTCTTCACGCGTTCTTGTTCTTAGGGTCGCAACCCTGATGCGGTGAACAATTTTACTTTTAACAACCCCATCTAGCGGAATACTGTGACACACCAAGTTGCATGGGTGCACATAGGGGGACATGAGGGTCTGCATGGAGGGTCTGTGCATGGGGAAATCTTTGAAGAACGCTTTGCGGCAAATAAAGGTCTTGTGTAAGGCTTTAGGAAATAACGTTACTTCATATTGGATTGTTCTTACTCAATTATGTGGTGTCTGGCAACAAAACGGACGCTACATTGTGATTTTTATTGGGCTTTTATTGAATTTTTATCTGGCTACGCGACAAGAAAAAGTTTCAATAATGAATTTCCCCTGAGTCTGTTTATCAATGAAGTACATTGAGATTGGGTTCAGTATTAGAATGTGGATGGCCACATTACTGATGCGCTGCTATATCCTTCCGCTACTGAGAAAAAAGTACCATGATGTTACCGCCACAATTATGAATGACAGCACCTGTAGGAGTATTATCGTAGCGAATTCGATCACAAACCCTGTATTAAGTATGTCTAGGGCCAAAGCGTATTGAGACGATACGCTAAAATTCGCTACACTAAAGTTAGTCCCATCCGCAACCCGGTTGCCACAATCGTGCTCGTCCGCTATAAAATATACAGGAATGACCACATGATATATGGTATTAAGCGACATTCCCTCAAATTATTCCAAGCGATCAACCATATATGACAGGATTTCTAAAAAGATATTATCATAAACCAGAGGACGGCTTGCGTGTGCTAAGCTTTTAGAAATAATGCATTTAAAACTGGCTCTTTTTAATGTTCAATGCACATGATTTTGGAGTTCATTCCTCCCAGCGTTCGATCCGCCATGTTTGCTCCCGTTGTCATGGGTACGGGTTCTATTTACTCCCACAGATGACACTAGCCAGCATTCGAAGCAGGTGGGGATTTTTATCTCTCCGTTTCTGAGGCAGAAAAATCAGCAAAATACTCACAAAAAATCGCAAATCATAGTCAGATTTTACTTGTTAGTTCTCTTGACATATATAAAGAACATTAGGGTCACAAAAAAGCGTGAGTTTTAGCGGAAAATGCTCCGAAAAAAGTTTCTGTTTTGACGCTGACTGGGTCGAACAAGGTTACGGCCACCAAGGTCATTAGACAGTAGTACTATCTGTAACCAAGGAGATTTGATTTTAACTCCATGCTGTAACATAGATAACACATTTTACCCCTAAGGCAGCAGTGAAAAGTAACCATGTACTTCATTTTCGTAACGTTTAAAGACTTATAAACCTGTTAGTTATCCTGAAAACTGTTTTACATGAGATTTTTATGACATCTGTAGGCGTTCTATCATCTATGTTGAGAAGTCGAACAATGGCGACGACGATGTCAACAAAACAGTCTGAGGACAGCGTTAGCGCTGAGAAGGAGTCGATGTTCAAGAGGGTGATCAGAAAATTGAAGAACAAAGGATCTTCTGAAAACGTCTTGGAAGTTGGGGCCATGGCCATGGTAAGTTTCATTTTCATTTTTGGGGAGATTTTCAACCGCCGGTGTACCGCTCGTGTTGTTTTCATTTGTCGTCAACTTACGTTGTAGTAAGTTCATCATTTGTTATGACTCACGTTGCGTATGGCTTCTTTGGATGTTTAACTAGATAGGTTGCTAACTTGCTATTCCAATGTCACAAGTTTGTTTCCTTAGAACAAAAAAGATACAAAACTTACGTTAACTTTTTATAACGTTCAATGTATTTGGAATCTTTTTTTTTTATCGAAATGTGCATATTGTAATTTGTAACATGTTGCTATTGGACCAGTTTACTCAAAAGCAGTAAAATTATGATTTGAATTGTTTACAAAAGTGCCCGTTCTTTTCTATGTTTTGTTTGTATGTTCTTATTGTAGCACGTTCCCTTTCTTATTCAGCCAACTGACACAGGCAGCACAGAACCTGCGTTACAAGAGTAAGAACTCAGTTTTAGTCAGCTTTAGCTACCACTGAAGTCAGAAATAGTCAGAGATTAGAAATTACAGTGAAATTACAGTGTATTGAAAAAATGCATTGCTGTACATTCATGTCAACTTTATATATTTCATATGCCCAGGAGGGGACAGAAAAATTGATATTTCTAGAAAAATGAATGTACTAAGACAGACTACCTGTGTCACTATGAAATATATGTAATCATTGCCCTTGCAAGTATCAAAGAGATTCTGACATTTAAAAGTAGTACATTTATGTTATTACTTAATAATTTTAATCTTTTTCTTTAACAGCCTCAAAGAGCGCACAGTGGTCCTTCTGGAAAACCTACAAGGCCTCCAGAGGTAAGGAACAACTCTATAATGGAAAATACAGGGCACACATAGAGATGGATTCAGAAATGTATTCTACTTCACACACATATTTAGTCTGACAACTACCACAATATTGTCAGCTACTTTCTTTGTTATTTATTGTTGAAAACAAATCAAGAAATACTTAGAATCAAGAAACTTTATTTAGCCTAGTACACAATAGACAATGATGCAACCTGTGACTCTACTGGAATGCTGGATAAATACATGTCTCTTCCTTGTTCCAGGTTGTTTCAACAGAAACATCACTACACCTCCCTTATGATCAGGTAATATATGACATATTAATTTAAGTATTATCCTAGGTGGCTGTGGTCATAAACTGTCAATTAGAAATTCTCAATCTACTAAAATGCATAATACATACATATAATACATTCTCTTCTCCCTTCTGATATGCTGTTGTAATAATAAAAGTATTGAGGTATACTGTAATAATAAAAGAGTATTGAGGCATACTAGTACCTCATGATTCTCCAGTTTCTTACATTGTGCTTGATTTCTACAGGAGGCTACATGAACAAACAGATGAAAATCACAAACAGGAGGATGTGATTCTGAGGTAAGAACAATCATTTATTTTCAACTTCTATTGACCTATGTCCTGTCCTTGGTGCTGATGAGATCTCTCAATGTATATAAAATGTCCATTTCTAGAGAAAACCTTTTTTGATGTAGTAAATGTGAGGTTTTATATGATTTTACATGTGGAATAAGAAATAGATTCCAACAGGACTTAAAAGAGGGTGAATAAAGTTTGCCTTTTTCTAAATCTCTCATCTATATGCCCATGCAATATAATTACGATATTAACAATGATAGATATGTTGACATATCTGTAACTTTTTATGGATTGTTTCTACTCTAGCGAATTCGTGAAATGGCTGGAGGCAAACAACACGTAAGTTTACAAATATTTTTTCTTGCAATTGAAATCATATCTGCTAAATCAGGAACTTGAGCTCACACTATGTAATGAATCTGTTCTCAGATGTCCTAAAAAGTTGTTCGAAGATGCTTAAATCAAATCTCTAATGTTATCCCTCAGAATAATCCAGCACCTGGAAAAAACTCTCCAGGACAGGTGAGTTTTTGTGCACTTTCTTTATGCATAAAACAACAGTTAAGTACTGTAGTTACAGTAAACACAAGTTTCATATAGATGCAAGGCTTGATCCACTCACAATGATCTGGATGGGCCTCTAGGCTTTTTGATACGTGAGGTAGAATCTACAATGTGCTCAAGGTGTGGCTTTCTTTAAAGTCTGATCCGAGAGGACGTCTCTAACACTTCATTTTGTGATCCTAGTACACTGAGGAAATGAGGTGTAAAGTGGGCCTTAAACCACAAGACCACCTTACCACTAGCTTCAATCATTCACTCACACACCAGAAGAAAAACTACTTGCTATTTCGTAACAGTTTAATGTTTCCCATGCTGTGCACCACAACAGGGTTTCCCTGAAAGATCGGGAAGTGAGTGAGCTGAAGGCTCGTATGACTGATCTACAATCAGAAAAGACACAGTGAGTAATCTTTATTCCTAACCTTTCATGACAATCATTATCACTACTTCATAATATATGATAATGTACCTAGTTGCATGCACACACAAGAAAACAGCATTCTGTAAAACTCTAAATACCATCCAAACATTTCTGAATGATATCCTGTGCTTATGGCACGATCTAGTAGACAAAAGTTAGGTATAATTTATTGGGCGTTGAGTTAGTAAACAACAAAACATTATGTATAATAAAAGTTTATAGTTGATCATAATGTATTTTAGAACAACAAATGAAATAATAAATATGGTCTTATTCTATCCATGCATCAGCTAATCATCCCTAATAGTATATGGTATTACAGGATTGTCTTAATCTGTTCTTCGTCATGTTCAAATGACCCACTCAACTGCACTTCTTTACACTGACAGGGAGAGTACTGAGGCTGCAGCTAAGATCAGAGAGCTGGAGGTACGTCTGGTAGATCAGGCGGCAAACACACGGCACAGGTGAGATGGTCACTCAGTCACTCAACTCTTACTCAATCACTCACTCACTCACTCACTCACTCTATTCTCACTAGCTCACTCACTCACTACATGGGTTACTTTGTCTATATATAGAACTTTGTGTTGGAAAGGATAGAGAGATATTGATATTGATTTAAAATAACAAGCAGTGCTCATAAGTTCACACTTTTGCAATAGAAACAAATTTTACGACAAATCCATTCTGTGCCCCTCAACAGAATTTCCCAGAAAGATCAGGAAATTGAATCCCTGACGGCTCGTGTGGCTGAACTGGAAGCTGAAAAGAAAGGGTACATTTTTTTTTTTTTTACTTTAGAAGTTTGTTATATCTGTCCACACAATCTTATCCATGGCAATAATTTCTGTCCTATTACAACTTAAATAATAAGTTATTTATTAATCTATTATTGTGGTCTATATATTAAACATTTTGTTATCTTCATCATTTAGATTTGATAAGGCCAGACCAAACATGCTCTCTCAAACTCTGCAAGCCAAAAATGTCCTGATCGACCCAAGGCCTATCCTTCAGGAAATACAGAAGGTATGTGTCTTTTAAAAAAGTTTGATTTAGGCTTTGTAAAGCAATGATGGTAAGAACTTAAAGTAAGATGTACAGGAATAAGTCAAGAATTTCTCGGTGCAATGTTTATATACAGAAATGTTTGAATAAGTTGATCAATCAATTATGGTTAAATGCACATGATGTTCAAGGTTGCATCATAATAGTTTCATCATACCCGGAGGATAATAAAAAGTTGCTTATCTCTTTATTCAATAGATCAGAAAAAGTAATGATGAGAGAATGGCTCATCAGCAGGAAATGGTCAGAAAGCTGCGGAAGCAGGTAAGGATGGGAAAACTGATTTTTGTCTATTTTCGATCATATAAAATTCCATTATAGCTTATCATCATTGCTGTATTGTAGCCTGGTTAACGAGATATCTTCCATGTGTGGTGTCTTTCAGTGAACATTGTCAGGAAACTTTTACATCTCAACGTATTGACTCAATATTGAAAATTCTTTATTCCATGTGAAGGTGGAGGCTAACAAAGGGTTTGTGAAGCAGCTAAAGCAGGTGAGCTTTGCAGAAATGTTTTGGTTGCCTTTTTGACTCTGTAAAACGTACCATAACAAGATATTATTTGCACTAACAAGTAACTGAAAAAAGAGAAGTGACGATAAGTCTTAAGTTTATACTATTTCACCAGCAACAGAGCTTTCAACGTGTCATGAATTCAGAAATACTAATACCATGCTTGTATATGCACATGCAAAGTTGTATAGTTAAAAAATCATTTTATCATTACAGGACCTAACTGAGCAGATTGAGCCACATGTAAGTCAAAAGTTTATGCATGTTTATTGCGCTAAAATCGTTGCTTAAAAGCCACTAGATTTGTGCATTTTTGCTGTTCAAAACATGAATGATGTTAGTATTACAATACAATTCAATTACTCAAATCAATTGCAATTAAAACCGAAAGCCAATGTTCACTGTCCATCACTCATATTCCATATTGTAAGTTTGCCTGTAATTGCTTCTTTAGGGAAAAGTGCTCAAAGATACCCTTGACAAAAATCATAAAGAGGCAGTCCAGAAGGCGGCTGAAGTGCCCCAGATTCTACTAAACGGCGTGCCACTGCTAGATGCTAAAGAGCAGGAGGAGGAACACCAGAAGGTGGCTGAAGTGCCCCAGATTCTACTAAACGGCGTGCCACTGCTAGACGCTGACGAGCACGAGGAGGCAGCCCAGAAGGCGGCTGAAGTGCCCCAGATTCTACTAAACGGCGTGCCACTGCTAGACGCTGAAGAGCACGAGGAGGCAGCCCAGAAGGCAGCTGAAGTGCCCCAGATTCTACTAAACGGCGTGCCACTGCTAGATGCTGAAGAGCAGGAGGAGGCAGCCCAGAAGGCGGCTGAAGTGCCCCAGATTCTGATAAACGGCGTGCCACTGCTAGATGCTGAAGAGCAGGAGGAGGCAGCCCAGAAGGCGGCTGAAGTGCCCCAGATTCTGATAAACGGCGTGCCACTGCTAGATGCTGAAGAGCAGGAGGAGGCAGTCCAGAAGGCGGCTGAAGTGCCCCAGATTCTACTGAACGGCATGCCACTGCTAGATGCTGAAGAGCATGAGGAGGCAGTCCAGAAGGCGGCTGAAGTGCCCCGGATTCTGATAAACGGCGTGCCACTGCTAGACGCTGAAGAGCACGAGGAGGCAGTCCAGAAGGCGGCTGAAGTGCCCCAGATTCTGATAAACGGCGTGCCACTGCTAGATGCTGAAGAGCAGGAGGAGGCAGACCAGAAGGCGGCTGAAGTGCCCCAGATTCTACTGAACGGCGTGCCACTGCTAGATGCTGAAGAGCTGGATAAGGTGGAGAAGAAGGCAGCTAGTATGCCACAACAGTTTCTTAGTGGATTCTCTCTGCCAAATGATGGAAACAGTGAAAGGTCAGATATTCCACACTGCATTCCGGAGTCTCCTACAAATGAAAGCGAAAAGGAAGAAGACACATTCGGAATGGGACTTGCCAGTCAACAGAATACTAGCCTGTCTGCAGGTGATGCAAGCATAGAAACAACCCTAACTACTGTACAACAGCCGCTACGCATCCCAGAGTTCTTCGTTGTGCACAATTTCCCCCGAAGTCTTGTGGCCCACCGACTTCCTCCGAACTGTACTATGGACCCAGTGCCGCTCCAGGTCCACTTTGTACCCAATGATGGTTGTGCTTCAGGAGAAATCTATTACGACCTTGACTCTTGGGCTGATGCGTTCGAAGCTGCTATGGATGCCATGGACTCTGGACTAGGTGATTTCCACTGTGCGAGTCCTTACCCTGCCCGCAAGTCAGCGTCCTTCCCGGCACAGGCCTGTTCAACACACGTTCTGGATGACTGGCTAAAGCCTTTTGACCCGAGGCAGAGGGATTCCATTATATCCAGGGCATCATTGAAGGATCTGCCAACTAAGTCTGAAGTCGGTAGCGGAGACATGAAACCACAGAGTCCTGGAGCACCATCCTCCTGGTGGAAACCAGAGAAGCCTACCAAGTACCAAGAGTTCGGAGAGCCGAGTATGAGCCTCCTGGACTTTACAGCAGCTGATGAACCTCGTGGACTTGAAGTCCTGATCGAGAAAAAAGCACCAAGTCAGTTTTGGTGTGCACCACCAGCCTTGGTAAGAGGAGATGAGTCCCGAGGACTGGAACTTGTGCTGGAGGGTTCAAATGATTCCCAGGCCGTACAGCAGAAGGCATTGCAGAGATATGAACTCACCAAGATGGCCGCCGTGTCGGGCCAAGAGATGAGCCACTCCACCATTAGCATGCAGGTCAACACGTCTCCAGCGACTGAGGGAGAGGACACTGTCCGAGACGACCCTGTTACATTCGAGCCTTGTTTCTTGTTGGCACTGCTAACCCACAGGATCAAGAGAGGCTACAGACTCAGCACTGTGCTATACTGATAAAGCGTACGCTACATCAGCAGCATGTGAATTTATCTTATGAATGTGAAATATTTTACTATGTTTGTTCTATAATGTACCACATGTTTGTTTAAAGTGGAGACAAAAATCAATGCGACATCAGAAAAAAAATGTCATCTGCATGTGTACATTACAGTTCCACTTATTTCTACATACCAGAAATGTATCTACAAAACAAACATGGATTTTAACCAGACAAGTACATGTATTTTATCATGCTTTTCACAAGTGTGCCTGTAAATGCAGAATTTTTAACAGACTCTATTTTGTAACACAATTTCAGACCTGCCTCTTACTGTGTTTTTGTAAACATAAAAAGTACAATACACTTTTTTTTCTGAAGGAGCCAAAAGTCTATGTTGTATTTCTTGTATTGTGACTCGAATGACGTGGTGTAACTCGCGTACGCACAAACCAATTAGTGCAGATGACTTTGGTTCACACATCAGTTTTTTTTTCCATTCAGCACCAAGGACAGATGTGTTGTGTGTGAAAGGTGTTCAGCACAAAGGACAGGCGTGTTGTGTGTGGATGGTGTTCAGCACCAAGGACAGGTATGTTGTTTGTGAATGGTGTTCAGCATCAAACAGGGGCGTGTTGTGTGTGAATGGTGTTCAGCACCAAAGGACAAGTGTGCTTCTGTATGAATGGTGTTCAGCACCAATGACAGTACTTGCCTTGCTACCATTAGTTGATCTACTAATTGTAATGGACAGTCAGGATCAGTCTACTAGACAGTAAACTACTAAAATGTTTACTTTTTAAAACCTTTTTTATTTAAGAGTTCAAACACAATACAACTATAAAAATACACAATACAAAACTGCACAAACATTATGATAGTATTATATAAAATGCTAATTAAATATTGTTTATAAAAATGTGTGCTATGTTTGTTCCATCTGTGTTATCATAGAAATTTCGTCACCATAGAAATAGAAAACATCTAACCTATATGCAGCCTCACTGCCATTCGTCCCACCAGTAATTGTCTTTCTACCATTAATTGATCGGTTGATTCCGATACACTGTCAGGATTGGTCTATTAGGCGGTTAAATATTTTCCTTTACTTCAAAAAAAATATTCAAGAATCCAAACACAATACAACACCTCAAATGCATAACTGGGTAATACATGATTTTAGTATACATATTTATCTAGTCAGTGACTTGGTCAAGAAAATAGACATGGTGTCGGGCAGAGATGAAATCTGACTTGTTGTCACCTCCTTGCAGCCGTTCGAAGAGGTAGATCTGCTCTACCCACCTGTAAATAAAAATAGTAAGGTTTAAATACCCAAGATTTTCTACCAGCGTGTTTTACAAGAATTATGATAGCATATTTATTATTTAACTGATTTCGTCTTTAGAACACATCGATGACAAGTTTTTCTTATAAGTTTATATTCTATTTGTTGTCCTGTCTTTCGTTTATCACATGTCATGGTCTAGCTATTATTTGCTATAACAAGGTAAGAAATGGGAGATTCCAAACATTATTTCGTGAGATTCGTGAGTGTAAAGGGGATGGTATTGTAAAGTCTAACCAGTATTACAACACGTAGTTCAGTGAATTATTGCACAATTACAAACTGAGGTGCCCCAACCGAGCACTTACTGGGTCACTTTTAAGTAATCATTACCTATCTAAAAAACTGTTGTCAGAATAATGACAGCAACCGTCAGTACCCTGGAACCAAAACATACAAACTTCCCATAAACCAGCTAATTTTAAACATAACTTCTGTCCCGAAAGTAACAGTGCCTTACCGCCAGTACAGCAGTATATCTTGTGTCCCGTCCAGCAACAGCCGCCGTCTCCACATCTGTCACTCCGCACATACCTGCCAACGTCGCAGCCACCCGGGTCACAGAAGGTGGCTGTGCCTTCCCAGTAGCAATCTGGAAAAATTTCAGCACAGTCTGCATTGGAGGGGTCCACACTTACATGTACATGGTACACAATTCACATAAAAAATACAAAACAAGAAGTACCATTTCAAATCCGGGGGAGGGGCAAAATTGAACCTTGAAGTACACTGGTGCAATGGGTCTGGCATCCAGGTCTGGCATCCAGCCTAATCGTGGTGAGGCTAATCAATCTCCCGTCGTGAAAGAAAAAACTGCCGCGGAACCTTGCTGAGTCGGGCGGGGAAGAGCTCCTGCAGCCTCGAGGAAAACCCACCCCAATCACGATAGACTGGATACCAGATTAGGTGTGAGTATTACGTACATTGCTCGCGACAGACGATATCCTCGCCTGCCCAGCTGCCGCCCCTGCATGCACGGCTCGGGTTCCCACCGTCCCAGTAGTACCCGCTGTTGCAGCTGTAGGTGCAGACTTCGTTCTCCTCGTACGGGTAGTCACAGCCGGTGTAACCGTAACTGACGGTGATGCCCGGGGGGTTTGGGCAGGAACCTTGAAGTACACCTTGCAAAACACATTAAAGATGTGACTACTAGTAGTAGATAAATGATTTAAGTAAACTGTGTACTGACATATTACTGACAAAATTGGCTTTTGTTGTGATATATTCAGCTTATATAATTACAAATTGTTGAAAATTTGAAATATAACATTGTACACTGTCTAATGGTTGGTTGCTTATGTAATCTAATACAGCGACTATCGTTGAATAATTGAATTCAAAAGGCCAACATATAAAAGATATAACTGTGATTAACACAAGGATTGTCTGTATAAAGTCATCTATTCCAATTTTTTATGTCATTCATCGCGGTCTAGCTAGTGAAACTGGGTCTTAGTTGAGGGAAAAAGGCGGCACGTGCTTACCTGTGATACAGCGGTATGACACCTCCAAGTACTTCTGGACTCCGTGACAGGGATCTCCACCGAAAACTTCATTACGCGATAACACCGCGCACTCCCGTCTGTTCTGGCAGAGATCCCTCATCATAGTCAGACTGTTGGCAGCGCGGCAGTTGGTGCTACAGGTTGAGCATGGGCAGGAGTGGGAGGTGGTCGTCCGGCCGTAGTTGGCGTCCTCGATCACGATCGTCTGTCCGACCGAGCAAGACAGCTCTAGGACTTCCCACTCGCAGGCGTGGACTGTTTCTGCGCCTGTGTCAACTTGTGTGTATCAATGTTGTTAATTACAAGTACCTTACATATCTGATAGCATAGCAGAAGTGGGAAAGCCGGCTCCTGAAATTTTCGATAACGAAGCCAAGCCAACAGCATGCATACTAGTATCTGTTATACATGGCTGTGTAAATAAATGTTTCATAGTGTCTTCATGTTAGCAATTACCCTATGGTTATCGATACATATACGTACAATTTACATGCATTACATTGCATTACATTTATGCTATTCTCAAACCACAAAAAAAGGAAATACAAATGGAGAAGAAAATGTAAAAAAATATGCATCTGCTTACCTATGATTTTGTCGTAGAATATGTCCCTTGGAAAGTTGTGCGTAGTAGTCTCCCCACAAGTTCCGCTCTTCGGGTAGCACACACTGTTGTCGTGAAACATGAAGGAGACACAGTCGGGGTGACTCGTGCACCGTTCGGCACAGTCCTCCAGGGTGATCCCGTCCGTATGTATAGACCAGATGTCGTTCCCAGGGCAGTCTCCGCCACGGACAGTGTAACCATCGACGGTTGCCACTTGAATACATCCTTGCTCTTGCTCTTGCCCTTGAAGAAAAAATTGCATATTAAAGAGGGCGGGTGGGCTATTTCTATTAGAATATATGTACACTGCAGTGTGGCATTCTAAATCTATATTGCTGTGGACCCTATATATGTCGAGTGTTTTTTCTCAACCTTCGAACGAGGTTAAGTAAAACAAAATCAAAGCCCTAGTTTGACATAAATGGTTCTAATTACCATAATTTATGCAAAATTAACATAACATATCATTAGTGACGCTAAAGAAGAGTGAGGGATGCGACTCCTCACCTAGAAATAATCTCTGTAATCTCTAGCAGTTGAGTCATTGAATATGTTAATCATCGGGCATACCTTGTTCACAGACAACTCCGGCATCTTCGCTGTGCCCACAGTTATGTGACCCCCAGCCGTTGTGTCCACAGTCAGAAATGGTTGTCTCCGAACCATCGCAGTCTACATCGTCCAGCCAGATCGGGTCGGACCCCTCTCCGAATGCCGCCCTGTCACGAACTTCTGTTGCACCGGGATATCCCAGCTGACGGCAGACCACGCGGGCGTCACTCAGCTCCCAACTATCGTCACAGACGGTTCCCCATTGTCCGTTGTGGAACACTTCAACTCTGCCTTCATTGGAGGAACTTCCGCCAACAAGTCGGATACTAGTATCTGCAGCTGGAAGAAGTATCCTTTATTGTTATTCTCTGTCTGTCTGTCTCTCTCTATCTGCGTGTGTACGTGTATGTGTGCGCGCGCGCATGTGTGTGTATGTGTGGTTGTGTGTGTGTGTGTGTGTGTGTGTGTGTGTGTGTGTGTGTGTGTGTGTGTGTGTGTGTGTGTGTGATGTGCGCGCGCGCGTGTGTGTGTGTGTGTGTGTGCATGTGCATGTGCATGTGTGCGTGTATGTGTGTGTCATGTAACATAACACAACAGTACAACACTTTGTGACATGTGACACTTTGGAGTCCTTGTCATCTTCAACCGATTTTTCCAGCTCCTTTGCACACAATTTTAAGTGTTCACTAGTTCTGTTAGTTCACAAGAATGGTGACAGATTTCACTCAACACATCCGGCAATAATCTCCAGTTGCAGTAGAGTTTAAGTTGTCTACGAATACGTTAATAAGCGAGCATACCTTGTTCACAAACAACTCCGGCATCTTCGCTATGCCCACAGTTATGTGACCCCCAGCCGTTGTGTCCACAGTCAGAAATGGTTGTCTCCGAACCATCGCAGTCTACATCGTCCAGCCAGATCGGGTCGGACCCCTCTCCGAATGCCGCCCTGTCACGAACTTCTGTTGCACCGGGATATCCCAGCTGACGGCAGACCACGCGGGCGTCACTCAGCTCCCAACTATCGTCACAGACGGTTCCCCATTGTCCGTTGTGGAACACTTCAACTCTGCCTTCATTGGAGGAACTTCCGCCAACAAGTCGGATACTAGTATCTGCAGCTGGAAGAATTATCAGATACTTTATTGTTATTCTGTCTCTCTCTCTCTCTCTGTGTGTGTGCATGTGTGTGTGTGTGTGTGTGTGTGTGTGCGCGCGCGCATGTGTGTGTATGTGTGTGTGTATGTGTGTGTGTTTGTGTATGTATGTGTGTGTGTATGTATGTTTGTGTTTTTGAGTGTGCATATGTGTGTGTGTGTGTGTGTGTGGTTGTTTGTGGTTGTGTGTGTGTGCGTAAGTGTG